CTCCGCGGACCAGCAGCTCATGGTGAGACCCCTCGGCCTCCTCCCCGCCCCCCTCCGTGGCCTCCAGAGCCCGGAATGCCTCACTGAGCCCCGGCGGGCAGAGCCGTCCCGTCCCCTCATCCTGCCCCCCGAAGAGGCCGGGCAAGGACCAGGACGGGGACCGTCTAAGGTTGGACGTCAAGAAGGTGCCATCCCTCCGAGGCCTGAAGAGTTAGCCCAACTTCGACCCCTCCCCTTTAACACCCTCCCGCCGGGGGACCCCACCCCCAGAGCCTGGGCAAATCGGGTCCTGGGCAAGCCGGCTCTCTGACCCAGAAAAGCCAGGGACAGGGTGGGCTTTGCCTGCCTGCTCCCAGAAGGAAGACGGGAACTTCCCAGGGGGCAGTTAACCCAAGCCCTGGAGAGGCCAGGAGCTTCCAGGACGTCGGGGATCCCTTGTAGGGAGACGAGAGCCCCTGCCTGGGGAGCCAGCTTGGGGTCGGGAGTGGTTGGGTGCTGGGCTGTGGCACAGATGCCGTCCAAGTCAGGACTCTGGTGTTTCGGAGAAGTGCTGGGTGTGACCGTGACAACCCCACAGAGCCTTGGGGCCTGGGACAGACCAGGAAGCAGGAGTGGAGGGTGTGAGGGCAGGTGGAGACTTCAGACAGAGATTCCTCATCACCAGTGGTGCCAGGCTGGCACAATGAGGGAGAAGGCTCCGTGTCCCCAAGGCCTCCGCTCGGCTTTGGGTGGGTGTCTCCCTGTCTAAGCCCCCTCCTCAGCCCCCAACTTCTGAGACCAGGCAATGGGCCGTTGTCACCAGCAGGTGGGTGGGGATGTGGGTGGAGGCTAGGTCCCCCAGACACTCCGCAAGCCTGGAGCTCTAGAACTCCCTCGGGCAGTTTCGAACGTGCCCCTTTGAAAATGGTTTGCTTGGCATGCCTAGTATGCCCCGGGGGCAGGGACGGAGGGTCTGCCCTCCCACCAGTGGAGTCTGGCAGCGGAGGCGGATGAAGATGACCTGACGGGCAGCACGGGTCCCTCTGAAAGTGGGATGTCCCGCCTTGGCCCGAGGGCCCGTTCATTCCGCCCACACACTCAGTAGGCGTCCCTTGAATCGGCAGAAGACATGCTCCTCCTTCCCCTGTTCTTTGGGGAAACCCACGCACAGGATGAAGGCCCCCCATCTCTCCCCGGCCAGAGGATGGACAGAGGAGGGGCCCCCAGGGTAGGAATGTGGTCACAGGTTGTCAAGAGGAGGGGGGACGGCTCCCGCTCCAGCCCCTACAAGGCCCCAACCCACAGCCAGCCACGTCTGCGCCAGCAGCGATGGCACATCCTTGATGAAGGCCCAGACGGGTGGCTCCGGTGCCGGGGCTCCAAGTTCAAGCCCAGGGGAGCTGTGAGTGCAGGGCAGGGGGCTGCTGCCGGCGGGAGGAGCAGACAGCTCTCTCCTCGACGGGCTCCTGGGGAGATTCACAGACCGGGGACCAGCTGCCCTCTGACCTCGCCAGAACTTTCCTTAGGGCAAGGAGGCCTGGAATCGCTGAACGCTCCCCCGGGGGAGAAGTCCGGGGTCTTCTCTGTCTCTCTGGGGCCCCGTATGGCCCTCTTCCTCTAATTCCCGGGGTCCTCCCTCCCAGGTGGCGCTCCGGGTCCGGCCCATCAGCGTGGCAGAGCTGGAGGAAGGAGCCACCCTCATTGCCCATAAAGTGGACGAGCAGGTATGCAGGGCTACGGCCAGAGCCGCCGGGCAGAGGTCTGCTCAGATCACTCAGCTGGCCTCCGTGGCTTACAACCCTTTCCTTCCTCTACTCACTGAACTCTTGACTGCGCTGTTGATGACACTGTCGAGGAAGCTGGAGCTCTTCTTCCAGGAAGCTCTCCTAGATTGATCCAAGGAGAACTGAGGGCTTCCCTAGCCTTTCATGTGCCCAGGGCTTGCCTTTCTCACCTCAGTACCCCTGTTCCCTTTAGAGCACGCACCGATATGGTCTAGAGCCTCTGCTCTCCCCAGAGTGTTCGTGTTTGGCAAAGTCCTTGGCTGTCAGCTTGTAGTCTTGGTCCTCATGTCACCATGATGAGGGGGGCAGGGCACACCAGGACAATCAATATCCATCAAGTACCCACAGCTTGCCAGGGACTGTGCCAGAAGCTGGGAGACAATGGGGAGTAGAAAAGACTCTTCCCCCCCTTTGTTTTGAGTTGGAGTCTCACTCCGTGGCCCAGACTGGAGCGCAGTAGCCGCTACTGGCCACCACAGCCTCGACCTGCTGGGCTCCAGCCATCCTTCCGCCTCAACCTTCCAAGTAGCTGGAACGACAAGCGCGCGCTACCACGCCCAGCTCATCTTTTTATTTTTTTATTGTAGAGATGAGGTCTTGCTAAGTTGCCCAGGCGGGTCTCAAACCCGCCGGCTCAGGCAGCCCACTCACCTCAGCCTCCCAAGGCGCGGGATTACAGGCTGAGCCACCGAGCCTGGCTCCTCCCCCTCTTTTACCTAACAGTCTAGAGTATTCATCAAAGGATTGAATCCCAGACAAATGTGTGTGCAGCTAACGAGGGCTGCAAAGAAGCATGTAGTGCCATGAGGGTTCGAGAGGGACTGGGTCTCGTCCTGGAGGTCGGGGGGCTCCCTGAAGAAACGATGCTTGAACTGAAGCATGGGGTGAAGAGGAGGACACAAGGCGTGTGCACCTGAGGGGAGAAATCTTGGCCTGCGGGATTTGCACATGCAAAAGTCCTGTGGTGAGCGATTAGAATGCAGCTGGAGCCCAACGCAGTGGCTCACGCCTGTAATCCCAGCACTTTGGGAGGCGGAGGCAAGAGGATTGCCTGAGTCCAGGGGTTCAAGCGCAGCCCGGGCAGCTTGGTGAGACCTCGTCGCTTCACTAAATCAAAAAGTTAGCTGGACATGGTGGTGCGTGCCTGTAGTTCCAGCTGCCCAGCAGGTTGAGGCTGTGGTGGCCGTGAGCCTGCCACCGCACTCCAGCCTGGGTGACGGAGTGAGACTCTGACTCAAAAAAAAAAAAAAGGATGCAGGTGGGTAACCAGAAAAGACCAGGGTGACTTAAGTTGGGCGGGGGGTGAAAGGTATGCATAAGGCCAGACGCCTGAGCTGGGCCCAATCACACACTCATAGACCACGACCAGAATGTTTGTTTGAGTTGGCAGTTGAGGACTCGGGTGCCAGGGTGGGCCTGGGCACAGTAGTGGGGGCAGCAGAGACAGGCTCTGTGCCCAGGGAGGAGCTTCACGGGGCTGGGTGTGCTGGAGGGTCAGAGGAGCCGGATGGCGCTGTGCATTGCAGAGAGAGGTACAGGTCAGCCCCTGATGTGCCTGGCCCGGGTCCCGCAGGCTGGACTTATGAAGCCCGAGGGCCATGACACGCCCAGGAGCGGTGGGCAGCATGGCCTCCAATGCCTGCCTGCCTCTGCGCTCCCAGGGGTAGGTGCCCCTCGAGCCTTGCCCTTCTGCGTGATGCTGGAGCTGTGGGCATGGTAGAGCCGATAGTGCCAGCTTGCTGAATTCTCGTCTCTGTGCCTTCTTGGTAAAGGGTGGGCTTCCTCAGAGATCGGGGACTGCAAGAATCACTGAAAGACCCCGCGTAGACTGGCTGCGCCCAGCTGGAGCAGAGTGAAAGCACAGAAACGGTGTAGGGCAGCTCTGCCACTTGCCGGCTGTGTGGCCTTGGGGCATTGCTAACAGGACCTCGGTGGCCTTCTCTGTAAGTGGGGACGGTAGTCCAAATGACTTCTTCCGAGGGTCTTTGTGGGCTGAGGTATGCAAGTGCCCGCCCTGTGCCTGTCATCTGTGAGAGATGAAATTTTCCAGGGCCGCTGGGTTGGCCCAAAAGGGGATCGGAGAGCTCCAGCGGAGAAACCAGCTTCCAGGCAAAGCCACTCTTTGATTGTCCAACTTGTCCCGGAAGATATCAGGTCCTCGGGGTAGGGACAATGATGTCTCTCTGCTGTTTCTGGTTCCTGGCCCGCGTGGGGGCTGACAAATATTAACTGACGCTGATGGAAACACTCCCGTCGAGGGGACAGCCTATTGTGTGCCCACACAGGCAAACACTGACTCCTTTCTGTCCCTGCCGGCGGAGAAGGCGTGGCTGCCTCTCTGGGTCTGGCCTCATCCAGCCAAAATACGCCTCCACCTCCAAGAAGGCCCCCAAGCTGCATGATTCTAATAGGCTGCTCTTTTGTCGACGGAGAGGCACAGAGAGGTTTGCCTGAGCAGTGAGACTCAGGGCTCTAGTTGCAAGATCCCTGTGAGCTCTGGTCGCAAGTTCCTTCTGTCCCCAGCGGGCTCCAAGAGGACCCCGCCCAGGCCTCCTAACCGAGGCCTGCCAGGCTGGGAACCTCCTAAGAACAAGCTGTCCCTCTAACAGATAAGGCCCTGGCAACTGGGAGATTAAGACACGAATCCAAGACACAAAACGCACAGCCTACTTCCTTCACCTCCACTCGGCACCATTCCTCCTGACCGCCACCCCTCTCCGGTGGCCGTGGCTCATCTGCAGCCCCAGCCCTGGGGGGTCTGGGGCCCAGTCTAGGTCAGTGTTAGGTCACACTCCTAGTGGGGCCTCCAGTTAGGTCAGGCCCGCTGAGGGTATGAGTGTGCCTGGTGTGCGAGCCGATGCCCCCTAAAAGATGCAAAGAATTGCACAGAAGTTAGATTAGAAAATATAGTTTTGCTGGGCTCGGTGGCTCAGCCTGTAATCCTGCACCTTGGGAGGCCGAGGTGAGTGGATTGCCTGAGCTCGCGGGTTCGAGACCC